GCTATTATAAATAATCCTAAAAGTAATGAATTTGAGGTTATTAAACAGTTTGACATTTTGGGGGTACCAATACTTAAAAACTAAATGTTACCAAAAATCGTTTAAGAATGAGCTTCATTCTTCAACGATTTTGCGTGCGAGAATATGACATTCTTACATAAAAATCTAGAAAATAACTACTCATCACACTACTGAAATTTTGACTGGAACTGTTTTCAAGATGACTGTCGTGCAAAGGGCGGGTCTGTAGGTAATTTTTTACCAACACTTGAGTTAAAACGAGGACTTGACGTTTAAACTTCAATATTTCGCAGGAATTTTGAATTTTAACATTAGACACAGAACTGACGGGTAAAAGTGAGTACAAAGATTATCAATTTTTTAAAAATTGCTATTATTGGAATCTATGGTAAAATATGAAAAATACATTATTTAATGTTTTATAGTTTGTAGTGAAATTTAAAAATTTAAGATAAATTGAATATATTTTAAAATAAAATCACTCAAATATTTGATTCAGGAGTTGTGACACGCCAAGGTACTGATGATTTGAATATTTATTATGTTTTTCTACAAACGTGCTTTTGAAAAAATACATTAAAATTGGGTGGACAAGTTAAAAAAACCTGAATCTTTTGTAGAATCACCCATATATTAAAGAATACTTATAATCAATTCGGCATTTGATTTCTAATTTATTTGCCACAAGTTGGAATGAATCATTTTTCATTATAAATAGTATATAAATAGGAAACCGCAGATTTCTTTTAAAAGTAATGCCTAATTTAAATATTTAGTTATTAATAATATATTTGAATCAAATTAATCTTTCTGTGTGGGACTTATCAGGGACCGCAAATTAATTATGTTACAAAAAAATTTTCTGGAAAATATTAAGTATAAATAGAAGATATACAAGGTGTCCCTAAACTTAGTGGCATAAATTTAGGAGCAGATTAAGCAAGTCAAAATAAGACGATAAATATTTTTCCTAATTACGTATGTTTAAAAGATACAGGGTGATAAAGTGTTACTTATCATATCAGTTTTTTTAATATAACTTCTACTATGGTAGACTTGGAAAGGTGATATTTTGCGAACAGTCACTTACTACCAAAACACATATTCACACATAATTACAATTGTTTGAGTAAACACAGGGTCGTAGAAACGGGGGTTGCTTTAAGCTTATTGTCCCATACAAACTTTGAGGTTAGGTTTTTGTAACATTTGATGCAATTTATCGATTAAACAGTTCGGCTACCATTAAAAAGGTGTACTTCTCAAACTTCGATAAAATAAACTGTTTCCGAGATATTTGAGATTACAATAATTGTTATATCGCATTATTTAAAAGGATTAAAAGGTATATGATAACAAATTTTATTTTTTAATTGAAAAAACTAAAAAGGGCATTTCATGAGCCTCGGGACTTTTTGCCCTGACCGTCACATTAAAAAAAATTGTAGTTTTTTCAATTAATTTTTTTTTATCATATACCTACCTTTTAGTCCTTTAATGCGATATAACAATTATTGTAATCTCGAATATCTCGGAAACGGTTTATTTTATCGAAGTTTGAGAGGTAAACCTTTTTAATAGTAGCCGAACTGAGTAATCGAAAAATTGCATTAAATGGTATATAAACCTAACCTCAAAGTTTGTATGGGACAATAAGCTTAAGCAACCCCTGTTTCTACGACACTGTGTTTACTCAAACAATTGTAATTATGTGTGAATATGTGTTTTGGTAGTAAGTGACTGTTCGCAAAATATCACCTTTCCAAGTCTACCATAGTGGAAGTTATATTAAAAAACTGATATGATAAGTAACACTTTATCACCCTGTATCTTTTAAACATACGTAATTAGGAAAAATATTTATTTAGATTTTCGTCTTATTTTGACTTGCTTAATCTGCTCCTAAATTTATGCCACTAAGTTTAGGGACACCTTGTATATTCAAAACAAAATTTACAGTTTATTTTATAAGGAAAAAATTAAATAGTGGAAATATTATTAAAAAAGCAAGTATAAATCTAAATCTATTATCTAATGAAAAAAATAATCGACTAATTAATTATTTTTAATAATTTCCTAGAACATTATTTCTAGGAATTCACTGTCATACAATTTAAATAAAAATATTTTAATTAAATAAAACGGGAGCAAAAATATTATCAGATAATAACATATGCTATTTATAATGAACTAACCTATCTCAACCTTAATTAAATTTGGTTTACTTTTGGATAATATTTTCTAAACATAGATAAAATAAACATGCACTTAATGCGATTAGACACAAGGAAAATCTTACCCAACAAACAGAAAAAAATAATCCAAAACAGTCACTTTAATAAAAACAAAACTATTTAACAAAAACCAACAAAACTACCAAACTAAAATACCGTAATATAAAGAAACGAAAAAAGTTTAAGTCGCGACTTGGGAACTTGGTATATTAACCTTTAGCCGTCACGGTCTTTAATGGGTCACGAATTGAAAATGCCGTGTATAAAAACACGACACCGTACTAACGACTTGCGGGAGGCGAATGAATACAAAAAAGGAAAAGTAGTCACACAAACATCTAACATCTCACACATCACATTTCACTCATTGTTATGCCTGTAATAATGGGAAGTAAAACAATAAGTATGCCATTGTTATGTTCTATAGATTTTTTCTCCTTTATTTCTTAAATTGGATATAGGTACCACATTTTATTTTATCTTATAAATACACTGTAAAAATATCTAATTTTGGCTAAAAACGTACTGCGCATCCAAACGACGCATCATCAAGTAGTACTGTTGCATCTAGTCATCTTTGCATGAACGTCATTCTGACATTTGGAGGTTATGTTCGCTTACAACAGTTTCCCTGAGATTAATTTGGACAGGATGTGACAGATTTAATCAGTGCAGCATTCTGTAAGTCACGCAGCGACAAAATTAAATGAAAGTTTAAGTGATTTTCGTTTGTCGGGTGGCTCGTAAATTAAGCGGTCGTCGTCTTTTGTTTGGTGGCGTTTTGTGTTCGAGTTTTTTTTTGTTTGTGCGAATTTTCTTTGAATTAAATTGTTGAAATGAATAGGAATTAATAAAAACAAGTAGCAGCTTACAAGTAAAGCACTTACCAAATAGGTAATTGTTTCAAATAAAAGAACTTTATTTAAACTAATTAAGTAAAAATTCACAACTTTGTCTTTGTTAAAAATAACAGTAACCATTAAAATAATTTTAAAAAGAGTTTGTTCACCTGTCATTGGCAGCGTATCTGTTCACAAATTGTGGAATATTTTTAACATTTTAATGACGAAAAGCCGAAATCTAATTTGTGTTTGTTTAATTACGGTCGTATATCGGTGATTAGCCGCTACATTTTGAAATATTAATTTACACGACAAACTAATAATGGCTATTCGGTTCGATTAAATTAATTCCGATAGGTATTTGACTTAATTTTAATTAGACAGTATATATTTCAAAATTGCATTTGCACTATTCACGACAAAATTGAAGCGAATTTAAATTGGAAAATCAACATTTCAAATTGTCATTTCAAATTTTGTGCTGCCAACTTAAGAAACACAAATATATTACAATTTTAAACCTTAATTTTGCCTTTAGAACAACAAATTCACAATTTATATTGTTCCTTATTTACTTTTTTTTGTTGTTTTTAGTTTTTAATAATACTTTAATTTGTAATAAAGTATAAATTGTTAATTAAAATACAACGTCTTACTTTTACTACATTGGCACCGCTGAATTTGCAGTCAGAGCCTACTATTAATTATTTATCAAACTCTTTAAATGAAGATACCTTGACAAAAAATACAAATCATTACACAAACAAAAAATATACAATCGACATATGGACACTAAACTAGTTTCGAACAGGTGCACCACGCTTGTCGGCTGCAAACAAAAAACCTTGGCCCAGAATTCAATCAAATCAACAATATTTCCCGAACACAATTCGCCACTATATTAATTAAGAACGTTACCGTAATGACGTGTAATTTAAGGGCATAATTAAACGCGAATTGCATCCAGGGAGGCTGGAGTCGAGGCTGTTTTGATAAATGGGCACTTTGCTAATGTCGTTTAATTTGAGGTTATGTAAATAGCTATGAAGTTTCTGCATATTTCGCATGTTTTTATATTAAAATGTAAACATAGCTCGAGTTATTTAAACTCAAATTGGGTTACAGATGTCAGGTTTTGATATACACACATATAAAACATAAAAACTGTATTATTATTATAGTAAGTCGCACGCGAATTTACTTATGGAGGTAGGTACATATTAACTTTCCTTTTTTAAATTTGCCCTAATTTGGGTTACCTACTTTAAACAAAGGAATCGTAGGTATTTTTCCTTCCTTTGTTTTGTAATGTAGGTCGATATTTTAAATTATTTAACTCTTTCTTGGGCATTAAAATTGTATAAAGCAACAAATCTTGTTAACTACCCCAAACGGCTGTAACCCATTAAAAACCTACTTTATATAATTGTTTTAAATCCTGCAATAAAACAACAGCTCTTTAAGATTAGTAGGTAGTAAATTTACTTTTTAACATAAACAAATCATAGATGACAGTGTTTATTTACGAATGCTACATAAATTTTAACACCCCATCGCATTTGTCATCGTTAAATATTGATGAATCATATTTTAAACGATTTGTCAACATCTTGACACATTTTTAAGTGAAAAAAGCACGTTATATCTCTGTCACGTGATTTAGATATGTCATGTGTCAACTCCAATGACATTTGGTTGGCATTTAAAGGGCAAAAAACAAGAGATCAATACGTAAACAAATAAAAAACGAAACACATGGACTTTACACATCGATTGTCAAGTTATTTACGCGATTTTCATTCGTTTTTTCCGATTACTCGCATTTATCGAGAAACCCATTGTTTTGATCGATGCTTTGCTAAATTTTACCTGTCAAAATCCGATAAGATAACAGTTCACTCACCTGTTCGGTTGCAACGGTGTAAAATCGATAATTTCGCGGCAAGATAAGATAGCGCTTACTGCTTGACACAGTTTATACAGTTCGCACTCACACATGCACGCACGTCCACTACTCTATCACCATATTTGTTTTGTAATATGGCGGATGCTGCTTGTGGACCCGATTTGTCATTAAACAAAAAGCGCCGACACACTACTTTACCAACCAAAGATGGTTTATCGAAGAATTATAATGATAAACTTAGGCAACCACTACACAGTTAATTGTAAAGTGCGTTGCCTAAGCACACTCGATTTTTTAATTACAATCCGTTTAATTTGATATTTGCGGTAAGTACAAGGACCCGGTTAAGGAAAATAAAAGATTACGTCACGATTAAACACCGCCCAGAACTGGAGAAAACATCACATATCTAAATATGTGGAAAATATGCATTCTTTTAAACGGAGTTTACTATCCTGTCAAATGTATCCTTGCGAAGAGTAAAGATTGCATTGTAGGTTGCCTAATAGTAATAGTTGGTAATCAAGTTATAATGCCGGTTATTTAAATGATTGTAGTTGTTTAGAAGATTATATCTTCGTGTCGTGGTTATTTGATAGAATATCCTATTTATTGTAAAAAGTACACAAAATAGTAAATATGAAATTCAGACAAGTTAATAATAGAAATTATTAGCTGAATCTGTGAAAAAGGTATGTAAGCTTTTTATCATATTTTAGTTACCTATTAAAGTTTCCATAGAATGATTTTATGAGGCATCCGACAAATTTTCAAGTAATTTTTTCTACAACCACTATGTGCAAGTCACATTTTGTAATAGCATCATTGCTTAGAAAATTAATCTTTTCATTGGCAAGGCAAAACACGAATGTAAAGTGACATTTCTGTGTGAAAAGTGACAGGACTGTGTGAAAAGAAATTGACATTTGTTTCAAAATTTGTATTGTAGGTATTTGTATTTGTATGTCTAAATATCATTTAGAACACAATTAATTGTGTTTGTATCATAAATTCCAATTTTAGTGTCTTTATTTAAATTGAGAAGGTAAGTTTATTGATTTTAACTTAAAATTTTTAAGTAACTTGAAAATTAAAAGAATAAAATGAAAGTAATTTTAACAGTTGTCAAACACGTTTTTAGGTTATTTTGTTTTGTATTTGAATATAATAAAAAATGAAACGGTCGTTGAAAAAACATTGTGTTTTACTTATGAGAAAAGCTTTCTTCAAGCTCATGTTAATGCACACTCGGCCTGACGGCCTCGTGAGCAACTTAAACACTTGCATGAAAAAGGCGCTTTTCAACACTTGTAAAACAAATAACTATTAAATTTTTGTCCTGCCCAGTTTCCAAGAAAATAATTTTTAAAGTTAACAGAGTTTTTTCAATTTAAATGAATTTCAAATAATAATTACTGAGTGAATTTGACAATAATTAATAAACTGTTATTGTAAGGTAAAGTAAGTATGCAGGGTGTCATCTAATAAATTGTCATCATTTAGGGGGATAAGTACACGCCAAAACAAGAACATTTTTCATCTTTTTGCATACTGTTTTTTAATAAAAAAAATATGAAATTTTTTTGACAAAACCAAAGAGCCAATGGATGTCACTAGGGTTGCCAGATTCTGTCAAAAAAATAAAGTACATTTTGCGAGAATTTGACGTTAATCGTGTCATTTTTGTAATTAAGGTAAATTGTCACAAAATTACCTTTATTTTTTTGACAGAATTTGGCAACCCTAGATTTCATAGACCTAACCTATGTATATATCATAATTGTTTTTACCTCTAAAAACAATGATATTATTAATATAAGCAAAAAAGAAACTTTTAAACTAACCTATTCAAAATCGGTTGTAATTGTGGTTTCTCTGGGGCTACATGAACAGTCTAGTGTACCGGAGCAAAGTTGACACATGAGAAGAACTCCGCGAACTGGTCACTGCAGCAGCAGATTAAATCCAAAATCATCCGGGTATGATGGCAAGAGCTATCATCGGAGGGATAGTTTAATATTTGTTATGATTTTGTCGATCACTTAAAAAATACCTACATGAGCATCAATCGACGCAAAAATTTAAAATCGACGGGAATATCACGGAAACCTCGAGATACGAGATAAAACCTAAGTACCTAAAATAGCAGAGTATGCAAAACAAAAAACAATTATCAACAAAGTTGTCATTTTTATTTTGAAAAGAGACTTTTGTGAATGAAAATCCCCCAGTTGAACAAAAAATAAAACACAAATCTATTACATATTAACTTTAATAATATAACACAGAGAACAATAATAAAATTATTATTTAATAGGTACATACAACCATTATAATTAAATATAACAGTACACATTCAAGTATTTTTTTGTGATGACATTTATTACAAAATAAATAAAAACATTGATGTCGAATAAATTAAGACGCGACTCTTTCCGTAATATAAAAAATTTCAAATATAATAAGTATAATAACATTTCTCTATCCACCGTCCGAAGAAATCACAACTTTAGCTCCCATATCACGATATGCGCATCGTTACTGTTCGCCTCCTTGACAGGCGCTGTCGTTTTGTTTTTGTCGGCCGAGCAGCACGGCTGTCTGCAATTCACGTAACCTCTCCCGCCCATCAGAGTTATGACGGTTCTGCGGGTGTTGTCGAATGCGTTGGTTTTGAGGGTTTTTGTTTTTGCCGCGGCAGTAGGCTGCGGCGGCTCTTTTTCTACTTTTGAGGTGTTGTTTTCGTTTAATTGTCTGCTTGCGTTGGAGTTGTTACGCGAAATGCTCCTCCCGTGGATGCTGTGCCGAATCGCCATGCTCTCTTCACTCCCTGAAGAAGTGCACAGACTTGAGGATCTAGAGTCCACAGACCAGTTGGAGAGATCCAGCGATCTAGGCCTGCTGACCTTCATTTTCAACCTCCTATCCAGAGTGCTGACTTTGTTAGGTATCGCGGCCAATTCGGGGTCGCTTTTTCTTCGCGATTCGTTGAACGTCTCGTTCAAAATGTTCTCGTCCCTCTCGTAGTCTTTTACGTACATCAAATCGCCGTACAACCCGTAGACGTTGCACGTGTCGCCGGAACTTTGCGACGAAGTGCTCGAAGTGCTGAACACGGAGCCACCCGTGCCGATACCGCGCGGTAACGTTTTAGATAAGCGCGATATGTCGGAATCTTTCGATCGGCGTCTGCGCAAAGCTACCGGGCTACTACTCAGTTGGAACTTCAGTTTCTGCGATATATCGGACAGCTGCTTCTCCATTTTGGGCCGGTCGCTTTCCGATTTTTCCGTGAAGCTGTTCTCCAAACTGTCCGGTTCCATTTTATCGTCCTTTGCGGCGTTGGAGAGAGTTTTCGAAAGATTCGAGGCGAAGTTCTTTGGCTGCAAGGCTAGCAAGAATGTAATCGGTCCGAAATGAGCGTGGTACGATATATTCACTCTGCCGCTGATGATCGGTACGCCCTCCAATCTCGGCAGAGGTATGGTGAGGGTTCTGCCGACGTTCGTGCCCACCCACAGAAGGCCTTTGCAGGCCAACAACGCCGTAACGCTCACGTGGGCTCTGTTGTTGTTTATGGTGTCTCTAGAGCCGGACCCCGTCACCCTCATCACTATGGAGGCGATGTTGATGTCTTGCAGGTGCTTGAAGGTTTCGGTGTGGTACAGGCAAATGGTACTCGAGTTTTTCTGCGATATCCACAGACCTATACCACTGTGCGCCATCAGGTTAACATTCCCTACATGCTCGTGCTGTATGGTGAAACTTTTCTGGATTTCACCTGTGGCTCCATGAAGAACCCACACCTTTTTACCGCACGCCGCGTATATACACATATTAATTGGTAGTAGAGATGATATCGGTTCTACACCTAAGGTTACTATTTGCGGTTCGTTCAACAACCAAGCACCATCCACGGGGTTTTTCTTGTACACGTATAGAGTACCATTACCGAGGGCAACATACACATTATCACAGTGATATTTGATCTGCATTACTACGTCAGATACTACGGTGGTACCCAACTCCTCCTGCTTCTCCGGTTCGTCGGCGGCATAGATGATAATCTTCCTGCTGACGGTGCCCAGCCAAACCGTCTCGCCGGCCAGACTCGGTCCCATGAGGTTGGTACCCTTGACGAATTCCATCGCGGTCACTTGGGTTTCCACCAACGAGAACGTGACCACGTCTTTTAACACTTCGGTGTTGTGGTGGTGCTGACTGAGTACCGAAATGCTGCTGCTGACGCCGTTGGAGATGCAAAGCCACAGGTAGCTCTGCGATTTGTGACGCTTCTTCGTCGGTTTTTGGGATGTTGTCGTGTAGTAGCAGCCGCAGCGCACCTAGAATGAAGAACGGTTAGATTTTGAAGATTGGCACGTAATCCGAATGGGGTAGTTAAATTTTTTCTGACCTATACTTTTTATGGTTTTATTCAAGGCGTTTTGTAATATTAAACATTTCTGTGAAATCGGAATTTCAATTGAGTTTACCGTTTTCGAGATATTTACAAAAAAAAAATCTCCTAATTACGTCACTTGGCTATTGACAACGTTGCCAGCTTTTTCTATGGTTGCCAGTGTGTTTAGTTTAAGATTCTTACGATAGATGGCGCCACGTTATAATATTTTAGTTTTAAAACCACTTGATCTATAATTTTAGTTGAGAAGAAGAAGAAGAATTGCTTTTTTGACGTTTCTTTTTTTCGGGTTATGTTTTTTTTAATTTAGATTGTTGAAAATCAATGTTATTGTTATGTTATTTGTAATTGATATTAGATAAGTGATTTATTAATAACGGACTCCAAAGCAGAGGAATCTTGTGGAATGGTTGGTTACATTGAACATTGAAGCTTTTAAACAAATAAAGTAAGTACCTATAATTATAATCATATTTTGTCGTAAATGCATTTCATTAGTATAATGCCTAGTTCTTTATATTCTTTTAGATATATCTTGGACTCTAAAATATCAAACAGTAATATGATACCTCGTAATAAGGAAGATAGGTACTTAATGAATTTGGTGACCATTTTTCACTCAACTGACAGTGACAGTATTTGTACATAACCTCTTCGGGTATTTTCTGACATAACCGAATGAAATCATTAACAAGACAACTTGACAACAGGGTAATTTTCAACCAATAGAAATCTTAGAATGTCGGTCACATGGCGAGGTTTGTGACGTCATAAAAATTTATATTTTTTGTAAATATCTCGAAAACGGTAAACTCAATTGAAATTCTGATTTCACAGAAATGTTTAATATTACAAAACGCCTTGAATAAAACCATAAAAAGTATAGGTCAGAAAAAATGTAATATCGATATTTTTAATATAAGCTTGTTTTCTTTTAAAAAGTACCTTATTAATAATAATAGTTAATTATATGTTTGTGTATTATATATATTTTTTCTTCTCTTTTTGTTTTGATATAAGTATTCTTACTGTATCTTTTTTTTGTACTACTTGAATTTTCTCTGTATGTACTAAATAAATAAACAAGATTACATGTTTCGTTAATATGGTGCATTAATTGTCTTGTTTTTTCTCGTGAAATAGTCTTGAGAATTGCCAAGCAACAAACTTTCATACCAGTCGAAAATTTGTTCTCTTGTGATATTATATACGATAATTATATTGTACCAAATTTCTTTATAGTTTGATGATTACAATGGTGTGTTATTTAATTGTTTGTATGTTATTTTTGTATTCATTTATGTAGTGCATTAATAAAGCAGCATTAAAAAAAAAAAATCTCATTTCGTTAAACTTACCTCAGTTTGATGCTGTGACTGATACACAGGCTGCGACCTGACGAACAGCGGCATTTTAGTCGACGGCCTCTGCTCCTGCTCGGGGACTTCCCAGGCCGGCGAATTGTTCGGATCCAGCGCCAGTTGAGCCAACCTCAACTCCGTAATCCACTCCTTCTTAACCGAGGGATTATCGGTTTGAAAAGTGTACGTCTCCTCCTTGCCTTTGTTTTTAACAACCAACTGGAGACAACACGAATCCACCCACGCCATCTCTTCGTCCTTGTGCTGTATCGATAACTGGATTTGTTGCAGTATTTTTCTTGTACTGTCGGTGCTAATTTCCTTGTACACTCCTTTCAAGGAAGCCGTCAAGTCGTTGATACGACTCATAACCTCGTAATCGTGCATGAGAGTGCTCATCTCGTTGCAGAGGTTATTCGCGTCCTGTGGCTGAGTACCATCGAAAGACCCGTTACTCTTTATGCTGCCACCTTTGCTGTGGCCTGCAGTCAAAATTCGGGACAACGTGGGTGAGGTGCTCGTGTCTTGGATTTCTATGTCGGAGACGGGGTAAGTCCATTTGAGACTCAGCCTTTCATTGGCCCCAAAATCGTCCGATTTCGATGCTACCGATACGCATACCACAAGGTCGTTCAGTAGGAGCAAGCGTCGGGATTTGGTCTTCGTTATCATGCCGTTCTGGCTGTATTCCTGCAAGAAATATTGTTACCTTGGAGTATAATACAGGTTGAATACTTACAATTTGAGTAACATTGTCCTCCCTCAACAAATACCGATGCTTGACTCCATCAGACAAAGGCCTAGCTGCGAATTTTCCGCTTATATTCCTCAGCATCTCTTTGAACGCTTGATACTGCTCGGCTTCTCTTTTCCTTTCGTTCAGCATCTCAGCTAAGGATTCTAACTGCGTGAGGGCCAGTTGTAAAGACATTCTATCGTAGTGTCCTTGAGGGGTGTATTTGAGCAGGTCCTGCAATAGCAGGATAAACTGCGGGAATCTTTGGACTGGTTTCACCATCAAGCCGAAAAATGATAACCGATCGTGCGAGCTGATCTGTTTCACCTAAAAAGAATGTTAATAAAGGGTGATGATATAAAATTCTATTTACCTTGAAAAAATCAGCCAAGGCGCTCTTCCTTTTGGCCTCCATTTTGGCCAGGTCCATGGCCCGCGAAAAATTGTTGATGAAACCGCTGTAAATGTCCAAGACGATGGCTTTCGAGAAAGAAGCCACGAAAACATCGCCGATTTTTTCGTCCTTATCCCAATTTCTCACGCATTCTGCTAGAGCTATCCTGAACAACGTATGGCACTGAAGAATTTCTGGTAGTCTTAGAAATAACGTCGATATTTTGGTAGCGTTTAGGATTGGCGGGGTGCTTTCTTCCAGGTGTTTTTTGTAGTCCTAAATTCAAGAAAAAATATCATCATGGGAGAAATTATCAATGAGATTAATACTTGAAGAAAGACAAGTTTGGTGATATGTTAAACAAAACACAAAGTGCTTAAAGTACTGTAACCCAGTTACACTTTCTTTCTGAAGATGCCAAAAGTACTTTAAGCACTTTGTGTTTTCTTTTGGTGCTGGGGAATATATCATATCTAATAGAGGTAGCGATATTATCGATAGTCTATCGATGGTGTCGATATTTTAAAAACTATCGAATTATCGATTCTATCGATAGTTACAAACTATTATTATAACTATCGTTTTTTTTTTATTCGCAATTTGACGTCATTAAAAATTTGGGGTTTTAGTTGGCAAAATCTAGGGACCCTAGATTTACCAACCGTAAACTGTCTCAAATATGTGCTGTCAATTATTTTATGTTCTAAAACTCGATAGTTATTATAGATTTTGATAAGGGTTTAATAACTAAGGTAGATATTTATATTGAAATACTATACCATGGAGCCTACACAAGGAGCCCGAACTTAATATGGGAAATTGACAAAACCTGCCCTCTAAATTGCACAAATTAAGTCTTTTCACCACCAGCGGCGCTGATTGTCGATGCGTACTGACGTCTGCTCTTTTGGTAGCGTTTCGGTACAAATTAGTCAATTGTTTCAGAATAAACGGAACACCAGCGCCCTCTTATCTTAGGAAGATTCTTGTTTAAGTTCGGACTCCTTTGACTCTCCTGTATTTGGTAGGTTGAAAAAGTGCCTACTAGGTATAAAAATAAACCCCTTATTTTTTTAATAAAATGTTAAACTATACGGTTTTGAAATTTTAGTAAACTATCGATAGTTAATCGATACTTTTTACAACTATCGCTACCTCTAATATTTAATATTTGTTCCATGTAGTCATATAGACAATTAGAAGGTTGGAAGTGGCTTTCTACATATTATAATCAATAACCTGAATTGCAAAAAACCCCGAATATATGCAAGTTGTTCATACATAATTCATAATTTTATTTATATATCATTATTATTATTATTAAATGTCATTGAGTGGGAAGCATAGACAGATAAATAACCACATATAAATGATTCATCAATGCAAAAAAAACTTACATTTACTAATCTTTGTAGAGTGGCTATATAGGAGTTTTCTGTATGTACAATTTGGGCTACAATCATTCGCCGTTTCAATTGGTTGGGACTCAAATCCGGCGGGGGAGGTGGCAGCGAGGGGGGCAGCGTTCTCCTCTGCTGGGGAGTGCAGTTGGGGAAGGAGATGTTGCTTTCTTCCTCCACTTCAGGCAGTTGTGGCATTTTGTTCCCAGCCTAGGGTTTTCAACGATTTCGTCAGTAAATGTTAATTGAAGAACTTTTACTTTACTTACTTGGGCGTTTTTCTGCGCGTCCGCCCCCTCGATGTCATACTGATGGCTGCTGCCCCTGCGTATAGAAAACCACCTCGACAGCTTTCCCTGGTTGCTTTGGTGTTGCGGGGACGTGTCCCCAGGCAGCGTGCCGTCCAGCGACAGCCTATTCGGGCTACCTATGCCGCCGCTGCCTCTCCACAGGGTGCGGGCTTTGTTCAGCGTGTTCCTCAATTGACCATTACTTCTAAAAAAAATTATTATTATTATTATTGCATAGAGCGTTAAATTTCGTGAAGTTTGATAGGTCGCATGGCATACTTTGGTTGGATAATAAGGGAGATATAAACAAAAAACAATTAATTTTAGGGGGCGGCGCATTTTTTATAAATCGTTATTTTTAGAGCGAAATATGTCGTGTTACCACTCAAATTTCACCAAATTTTCTCAACTTTTAGAAAAATTAATCATATTAACAATATTTTAATATTTTATAATTAATTTATATTTTGGGAAGGCAGAAATTTACAAAGTTAAATTTTTTAAATTAAAAACAATTGATAGTCAAATAATATTTTAAAAATAAAATGCAACTGTAAAACTTTAAATATAGATTTTTATAAATTGTACTTCTAATATTTTATTCTACAAAATTATTGGTTTAAATTTTTAAAGAGTCATTTAAATTACTTTGTAAATTAAAAATTATCGACTTACACTTAAATGTAAAGTTATACATTTTCTGTTAAAAATGTATCAATTTAAAATTGTTAAAAATAAAAAAATTTGTTTTAAATTTGTAAATTTTTAATACAAAAATTACCACTTTAAAATTTAAAACTTACATTTAAATGTAATGTAAGGATTTTGGTTTTAAAAATTTATCGACTACCGTTTAATTTTTTTTTATTTTATAAACACAGATTATAAAGGTTATAAATCGAAATGTATTTCTTGAAAATGGACAGTTTTTTACAGTGAAAGTAAAGAAAATGTTCCATGGGCTCTTTACAGTGGAGTCCGTGCCCGAATTTAAGTTATAGTTTACTGCCGGCGAAATTAAAAGGTCAGTACAATGTTCATATACACTTTTAAAATATTGGCGTTGAGAAACTATTTAATACTTTTGTATTTTTGTATTGATAATAAAGTAATTTTCACATTTAGTATTATTTTACAAGAAAGGCACTTTATTTTAACGATTGTATGACATTTGACAACTGTCAACTATCTTAAAACTAACTTCAGCCCGTGACTAAAAACATGTTGCCAACTTCAGCCCGTGACTAAAACGCCGTAAAGCCACAACTTGTCAATGTGTATTTAAAAGGTCACTTAGTGTCATGGAAACATGTACGATAAAGTGCTTTTTAAAGGTGGGAGTAGAAAAAATATTAAAACTAGGTACAATTTTTAAAAATTAATATTTTTAAACTTAAATTTTTACAGTTGCATTTTATATTTAAAATATTTTTTGATTCTCAATTGTTTTGGTTTTACAAAAGTTAAACTTTTTAAAATATTTTGGTAGAAAATATTTTATTGGTGTTTTTATTTTAAATGTCTCAATACTATTTTTAAATAGGTACTAAAAATGATGCTTTGAAATGTTTGCAAAAATTGAATAAAAATAATATTTTTAATACAGAAGTGAACTGTTAGTAAATTTCGTATTGCAATACATGATAGTTGAAAAATTTTAAATTTAAAAATGTAAACCTAACATATTTTGTTACGAAAATGTTAAACCAATAAAATTTTAAATTAAAAAATTATTTAATTATATGTTGCCATATTAGGCCCAGGCGTGAAATAATGTCATAATAATTAATCTAAAAATACATTTGGCATTATTTCCTTATTAGGTTCAATGAATCATTCGTTTGTTGGTTAAATAATTGAAATTGTGTTTATATCGATTTTAGTGGAGGTCTTTTAACTATACTTTGTACATCTGACACCCTGTATGTTATTTAAAAATAATCACACATAACTGATGACAATTTAGATCTCTTGGACATTATCCAACATCTAATTGACTATATATATCTTATATTGAGGTTCTTAATGGCGTAAATGAAAGGCGCAAATTTTGCAGAGCATTAGATTAGAGTAGTTTGACTAAAAATAAGACATTACATAAATAGATTTTCGCATATGGTTTTTACGTGTATATTTCGGTTTGAATAACAAGAACTAGGTGTATGGTATTTCGCGAACCGTTTGTAATATTTTAAAAAAACAAACTTTACTTAATTTTCCATTAATTTTCAAAGCAGTTTTGCGTTTAATGGGGAGTTTATTGCTGTTTGGGTTAAGTAAATATTATTTTTATAAATATAGCTATAATCTTGTGTTTTATAGGTTTAAAAATAATATTTATGTGTGGTCTTTTAAAAGGCTATTTATTTTTATGTTAAAAATATTAATTAAAATCACTCTTTATTTATTTTATATATAAAGAGCGAAATTGTAATATATTTTCATACTGTAATTAAAGAAATAACATGTTGTGGGTAATTGATGATATTAGTCACTATTAATTATTTATGCGCACAAAATGGACTTCGTATTCATTGGAAATGGCCTTGAAATGTGTGGGCCACACAGCAGGTGCGTATAGTGCATTTTAAGGCCCTTTAAGCAGGGTCAACTCGTCTCAAAGGGTAAACAAAAACAAACCAAAATTTGGAGAATATTTTGATGGTTTTTGAATTTTTACGTAAAAATGTGAACAGTTTAAAAAAATAATAATACATTATTTTAAAAACAAACAATTCCAAGACGCCAAATAAGAAAAAAGCTCATTCAAAACACAATATTAGGCTAGAAATCTTACTTGTTTATAAACGTCCAAACAGATAGATACCTTTAAAACAAAAAACGAAAAATTTTGACTTCTGTTTTAAAAACTATAACACCAACTAAACAAACTTAAACCACACACACAACACAATAAATTTCATGGCGCTCTTAAAACATGCGACTTAGTACTAAACGCTCACTCTACATAACTAGTTTTCTGCAGTGTTGTCAAGTTTCAGACTTGTGGGCATGTTGGTTTGTTTACGTTTTTTTTTTGTAATATTTCTTGGGAATGTGTGGTTTTAATGAGTTTTTTATGATAAATGCCTGGTTGGTAAAAAGTAAAAATACCAATAATTTTTGTGACCGATTTTAAAATAGTATATTAAAGAACTAATATCACAAGACGTCATTTTGTAATGGACGAGTGCGACAAAATGTCTTATGACATGAGTTCTTTATGCTATTTTATCTATTTTGCAAAAATTTTATTCTTTATACCTTAAATTTAATTTGGACGAATTTTACTTTATATAGTTGGTACAGTCATTGGTTTGACAGTTATTTACAATAAGCGGCTGTTAATGTTAAAGGAGAAAATCTTGTAAGTACTAGAAAAATCATAAAAATATTATAACCAATACGCAAAATATTATGCTGTTTAAAGTATATATATATATGGATATATCCAACCTATAAAATCAAAATTTTGGGTGGGATAAAGTATCTCATTACACCACCGAAAGCGGTGTTATAATGAAGTCATTATGAACGCAAAATAGATAAATGTTTTTATTGTCAAAAATAGTTCAATTTTTATTTGTTTTTCTGTATTATTGTGTGTTGTTAAATTTCCTATGATATGTTCTAACAACTTCATTTTTTGTCCATTATTTAAAATTTTTTGATTTTTTTTTGAGGATTTTTTATTGTCAAAAATAGTGCAATTTTTATTTGTTTTTGTGTATTATTGTGTGTTGTTAAATTTCCTATGATATGTTTGTTCTAACAACTTCATTTTTTGTCCATTATTTAACAATATTTTAATTTTTTTTAAGGATTTAAAATTCATTAAAATACTAATTAATTGCACACTAATTTTGAAATTTTAACACCGCATTTTTGTGGTTTTGATCCTGTAAAGATATTAATTCAATTGGTTCAGTGGCGGCGATTTTATAAGAGTTTAATTAATTAATTAAAGTAAGTTAAAAATTTAAATATTTTAATAGTATATTATGTATCAAATTTAGTAAACGCCATTTTAGTCACAAATTTAATTTAGGCACGATCGAGTGCTTAATTAATTAATTTAATTTAATTAAATTAAACGAGTTGCATACTATACTTTTTCAACGGAAAATACTAAATATTATCTAAAAAAAATCAATTAAATATTTGTATATTTTTGACGTAATTTTCACTGTTAAAATTGCCCGTTATTATTTTAATTAAATTTAACAAATATTGATACTTGACGATAACTTGATTATGTTAAGAAAATATGATTATGTTAAGAAAATATTTTATCCTTTGATTTTTTTATTACTTTAATTGCAAAATATTATCACTAAGTATTAAACATTCTTACACGGGAAATGTTAAAGGTAATCTATCTGCGCAAAATCTCAAATTTTTTGTGTAAATCAAAATGTATCCCTTGAAAATAGACTAACAATCGATATGGAAGCAATTTTTCACAGTAACAGAAAAGAGAAATTGTGAACGTTTTTTCAGTTAAATCTAGTTTTCAAATATTGGCATCAAGAAACTATTTAACACTTTTGTATTGAGATAATAAAATAATTTTCACATTTGGTATTATTTTACAAGAAAGGCACTTTATTTTAACGATTGTATGACATTTGACAACTGTCAACTAACTTAAAACTAACTTATAATTTTGAAATTTTAATAAACGTTTTATACATTAATAATCTTGATTTAGTACTATTTTTATTTCAATGGAATCAGTAGCGGCCATTTTATACTGGTTTAAATATAAAAATTTAGTTTTATTAAAAATTTTAATTTTTGTAATTTTTGATTCTTTATTAAAATATAACAAGAAATATTAATTAAACCCTCTTATTTTAACAATAAATATCCTTTAACCTAAATTCCCCGAAAGCTGCAACTTTTCGCACAACCCGGCAACGTCGCATATCTTAAGTAACACCCACCTACTGCTGGAAGCGGCGCTTCGTTCGCTTTCGTCGTCCGACGACAGGTCGGGATCCGAACCTGAACACCAGCTGTCCTCCGAACTCCTCTGAGACGCGGTGTGCTGCAAGGTTCGGTTGTGGGACCCCGCCGCCGCGGAGGCGGGCGCGACGGCGGACAGCGGCGCCGCCACCCTGTGCAGATCGCAACCGCCGCTGGCGTCCACCTCCCACGCGCCGGCGCGCATGCGCGGCTCATCTGAAACAAGCAAAAGAAATTAGATTTTTGTTATTATTATTATTATTATTATACGCGAAATTTTTACAATGGGTAAAAAATTTATGCAAATTACAATATTTTGTTAAAAATGTGTAGTAGGGTAAGCCAAAAAAATAACCTATCGGATTTATGGGTTAAAATGAACCTACATACCGAGCAAAAAATTTCCCTGCAAGGCAAAATTTTTTGCTCAATTTTAAAAGGTGTCGGTGAGCATTCTAAGTTTTCCATTGAAATAACACGTAAAAAAATCTTTTTTCATTAAAAAGACTATAACTCTTGAACCGTTTGAGATAAAAATTTTTACGTCGCGGATTCTTGTAGAGCATAAAATTTCCCAAAGAATCTATACCAGGATTATTTTTTTTAATTAAAAAATTCGTATGTTTGAAAGCTTTGAAAAGTGTAAAAAATCACTAAAACTGCAGGGAAATTTTTTGCTCGGTATGTAGGTTCATTTTAACCCATAAATCCGATAGGTTAGTTTTTTTGGCTCACCCTAATGTGTAGGTAAAACAAAACAAAGAAAATATCAACCCAAATTGCGAAACTCGAAACAAAACTATATTATATAATATAAGTTCAGAAAACAGTTTTAAATAATTTAATCTGAATTAATACAAAAACAACCATCCACCACATCTTCAGTTATGTGATATAAAACCACCAATTAGAACAAAAAAAAAAATACGACTATGTGCAAAAAAAATAATTGTTGCTCTAAAAAATATTTAAATCATATTTATCGCGTCATTTCTATTATAAAAAAGTGTATGACTTTTAATTAAATCACACGAACTAATTATCCTTTACGTCACTTGGATGCGTGCATTTTGAATTCACCTTGGGATGCTGGATGCATTTCTGAATATAAATCGAGCAAATTTCATATTTTTGTCACGTTTCCCTTATTGTAGAAAATAAACGAGATATAGCGCGACTTAAAAGATATTAATTAACATCGAAAATTATTCTGCCTCAAAATATTTTATGCTGTATTTGTCCTAATGATCAGCCATTTTTGTAGTAAATCGATTTCATTTTTGGATCTTAGATACACTGTTATAAAAATTAGATTTATTAACATGAGTTTGTAGTTTGTTAATTTTATTTTTTAGAAAATTATGGTTTGTAATAAATCTGAAAATCTGAAATTAGGGGATACAGTGAAGTGGGTTAAAGTTACGAAATACATAAGTAAGTGCTATAGTAGTACTAATAATAGTTTATAATAATAGTATATTAGCATCATACATATAAAAAAAATAAAAGTTGACTATGTGTAATTTATAGACAAGTTTTTAAAAAGCAATATACAAAATATAAATAAAATAATAATTATACGAGGTATGTTCAGAAAATAACGGGAATTGTTAAATTTCGCGGGTTCGGAGGGTCCGGTTGTCATAAAAAAAATTTATTATGTTGGTATACATGCCCCCGAAGTATGATAAAAACTTTAGCTGTTTTCAATGTTTACTTTGTCTGTGGCAGCCGCTAAGGTTAGACGTGTTTTATGAGCTCGGCGATTTTTCGTTCGTTAAAAGAAATGGATCAAAGAATTTGTATCCAATTTTGCCTAAAAAATGAAATAAATTCTGTGAAATGTTAACAAAGGCCTATAGTGAGTCTGCTATAAGTAAAACAAGAGTTTACAAGTGGTATAAGAGTTTCCAAGATGGCCGTGAAGACGTTGAAGATGACGAGCGCCCCGAACGCACAAGCACATTAACAACCGATAAAAACATGGAAAAAGTGGAAGAAATGGTTATAAACCTTTAGAGAAGTCGCGACTTCTTCAGCGCGCTGATGATGTTGGTATATCGATTGGCTTATCTCATGAAATTTTTTCGAATGTTTTGGGTATGAATCGCGTGGCAGCAAAATTTGTTTTAAAATTGTTAAATTTTGAACAAAATTTTTGGCCAAAAACAATACTGTAATGATGCCCCAGCCCCCATATTCGTCTGACTTTTTCCTATTCCCAATAATAAAAAGAACCTTAAAGGGCCGTCGTTTTGCAAGTATAGATGACATTAAAAGCGCCTCGCTGAAAGAACTAAAGGCTATCCCCGAGTTTTAGAAGTGTTTCGAGTATTGGAAGAAGAGCTGGCACATGTGCATAAAATACAATGGGGACTATTTTGAAGGCGACAACATTAATGTAGACGAATAAATAAATATTTGTTTCAAAAAACGAAAATTCCCGATATTTTCTGAACACACCTCGTATGTTTTTTTTGTTTAGAAAATTGATTAATAAAGCAATTTCTTTCTTTTTTACTTAGTAGTCTTTCAAAACATTTAAAACAATGTCGATGTCGGAAAATTAAGAATCATTAAACTTTTAACTCGATCCTTTATTTCCGTTCCGTAATGATTAATAAACTACCCGCATAAGAAACATAACAAACTAAAAGTTTGATATTTCGAATGCAGCTCGACTAACAAACACAAATTACGAAGCAGCGTTCGTTTAAAAATTCATTCCCCCAACCCAAAAACCACTTGTGTGGCATTGTGTCACAGAAACCACACATGCGCCATAACTCAACGTTGGTTAAGGCCCAAGTTTACTAAGAACGTCCGATTGTGGAAGGCTGCAAGTATTTTGGATTATTCAGCCTTGAGTTTTGTAGTTATGTTATATAAGAAGAATCTAAAATCTTTTTTAGTTACTTAATAGCTAAGTTTATAAATGTTCAAAAAACTTTTTAAATATTAAACTTTAACTTGAAAGTTATTTATTATACCATATGCCCATATTATGGGCATATGGTATAAATCTTTGGGTGGATGCTGGATCAAGTGTCAGATGGCTGGGCCGGTGTTTACTCCACCTGCCTTTTTTTTGCTTAACAGATGCACTTTCTTAAAATAGAATTCAAAATTCATAGGCGCCGTAAATATATCAAAACCTAAAATTTTAAACTTTACATCCTACAGGATGTTAGCTGTACTGTTTTGATTAGAAGTAAGGAAATCTTTGAAATCAATTTTTGTCAAAACAACTTAACCTATAGAAAAACTTTTAATCAAATCAAAAGTCTATTCAAAAGCGCTAACTTTGTTTTCCATAAAAATTACAATTGAGAAGGTTAATCCACGTTCGTTAAACCCTCAATTGTTTTAAAGGATTTTTTTAAATTTGACCTTTGAATATAAATTTACCCCAGCATTTAAAGGTCAACTTTTTTGTAATATAACAATTTAATTGAGCATACTAAAAAATAACATATCTTTTTACCCTCTTGTAAAAAATTATGTCCACAAATCTGAGACGGTAGATTAACTATTTCTTTACAACCTCCTTAACATGCACTGTTAAAAATTTCTATTGTAATTTTACTAAACATGTTTAGAAAGTTTTTACGCACCACAATATAGTAATAATAAAACTCTTTTGTAAATTCACTACACGATTCATTACAACTCAATTTGGGAAAATTACAAAACGTTTGTTGAAATTCACTAAGCATTTATTAAAAATGTGTTCAATAACATTACTATACAGGTATTGTAATTTTGTTAAAAAAATACAAAATATGTTTAGTAATTTTAAAATGGTCTATTGTAATTATACTATACAATTCATTTTAACTCAGTTTAAGAAAATTACAAAATATATTTTACTGAACTGAAGAAAATTCGTTTCGCAATATTACAATACAAATATTGTTATTTTGTACAACAAATTACACTAAAAATATTTAGTAATTTACGAATGATGGTATTGTAATTATACTACAAAAAAAACATGCAATTTTCTTAGTTTCTTCAAGAAACTTTCTTGACCCATTACTGTAAAGATTTAAAAAAAATTGAACCTTCACCTCGCCTTTTTTTGTTTTAAGTGCGTTGCACCAACTTCAAATACCGACAGACAGCTAGACAGATAGACCCATTTTGGGTCTTGCAATTTGGTGTATTGGAAAACGAAAGGTACCTGAGCTTATATACTGTACACCTAAGTCAACCGAGGCGAGATGTAAGAACATCACGTGAATGCCGCAATCGGTACATACTATGCATTTTACATAGCATTATAGCAAATCAAATTACAAACAACGTTTGTAAATCTGAGATGCTTTTTTTAGAAACTGTCAACGTGTTTAGTAAAATTACAATGCGTGTAGGATTTATACATATAGAGTAAAATTACAACTCATCTTAGTAGATTTATACACTAATTTGTAATTTTACCCATCCTTTGTTTTTCTATTTTCTATTCATATTTTTTAGCTATTATTTTATAAAAGTTTACTACACAGAAGTAGGCTGTTTAGTTTTATCAATAAGATGTGTATTTTATCTGTTCAGTAATAGACCTCACATAGAGAGAAAATTAATTTGAATTACTTAATCCTTATCTAACAAATAAACATTAGATAAAGTAAAACAAGTCTATGTTGATAAGAAATGATTTGTGGCAATACAAAACATCAATAAATAAATGCTTACCGACTCGTAATAAATACAATTAAAAATGTTACCCTGCAACCTCTTAAAATAGACGAGGAAATCAAACAGGCTGATTTTTATTATAATAAATAAACAAAGCATAATCGCCATTAGTTCATTTGTTTGACCAATTATGGTCAGATATACTTATAACCACTTTCCCACGCCATAAATTAATTAAATCAATTATTTTTTTCGCGAACTTTAAATGGGCAGTTGTCGATATCCCATTGTCATTTAAAAGTATAAATTATTATTTGTTTTAATTAATAGATTTACTAGTTTAACTCGTATTAAGACATTAATATTTATATCACCCTAGGAGGTATTGTAATAAATCAGAAATTATTCTTGTTGTGTCAATTTAAAGAGTTGTAGCTTCCAGACGTGTAATTTTCATTCTCATTTTGTTTTTTGTATGTGAATACGGTGTAGTTCCTGTATTTGTTTTGGTTAATTTTAGCACACTTTTAAAAGGATGCTATAGCACCATGGGGGTCAGGAAAGTAAATTAACAT